TTATCTATCGCTGTTAGTGCAGAAAGTTGATTTCTTTTTTCACCGGTTTTGTGTCCAAGTGATCGTCGGAGAGAGTGTCTAAAGATATAATCAAAAGTAGATATTATTGAAAAGTGAATTTTTGTATATTTAGTTTTAATAGTAAACTAAAAACTTAATAGAACTTAATTTGAATATTAAAATAATAAAGATATATTGTAAAGTAAATACTAGAATTGAGATAAACTCTATAAAAATATAGCAGTTTAATGGTATGTCCTAATTATAAGTATTGATTTTAATTATAATATTATTAAGTTAATTATAAGAATAAGCTATAAAAGATTCTAAAAAATTTAATACAAGATCAAAAATTTTCATATAAGTGACTGTCTTAAAAAACTTAATGACTATAATATATTTATGCCAGTATTGACTAAGGCATCTTAATAAATGTAAGTAGGTTAGGTGAATACAGAAACTAGAGTGTTTAAAGAAAAAACTTACAAACAGATTCCAGGTATGACAGTTAATATAAAACCTTTGAACAGACTACTTAAATTAGACAATGACTAAAGTTGTACAGATGACTAATTGTATACTCTTTCCATGATTGCCTTCTATGATTGTAATGCAACTATTAGCTAAATGTACTATCAATAAATCCTGAGTCACAAGTACTCATCTTAATATTTAAAAAAAAAAAATTCAAATTACATTTCTGGTATGATCTTTATAATATTACACTGATGCATCTTTTGGCTTAAATGCATCAATAACGTAGCTTTTGTATCACCTTGCGTAAAAATTAAAGGTCCGTCACTACGCTTCAGACAATCAGTATATTATTGTTATGGGTCTGGGTCAAAATCCCGACAAACGAAATCAGATAGGGTCATAATCCCGACAAGTTTGGCCCGTATTAACTGTAATTCCGGTCAATTTTTGTCGAGATTTTGTTTTTCGGGATTCTATTTATCAGGATTTTGACAGACGCTATTGTTATAAATACAATATTATTGTATAATTCTAACTCTATTTGCTATTAATCAAACATTTTTACTATCAAACATATAAAATTAAAATATTTTGTACTAATGTTTTATACGTATTTATAAATACAATATGCATCTAAATATTTACATGGATTAGTAAATATAAAATAATCGATATGCAATAATACTTAATTTGACTACACTCTAAATATTAAAGCATTTTACAGTACTGTATAACTGCCTAGCACCAAAAAAATTTCGGTGCTAGATTAGGGTTAGGTTTTGCCATTAATTTTTGTTAAGTGAATTATGAACGATTTTTTGGATTGTTTTGATTTTTTGCGCTTCTTCTGCTAAACTCAGTTTTGGTAAAACAGAAGCGACCGTTCAATGATTCCGATATAGTTCAATAAATATATTTTTTTTATACGGGTAGCTTAACTTTCTATGAAACTAGAGTAAATTTAACGGATGAATTAATGCTTTCATTTCGTCTTCTTTGAATCCCCGTGAATCCTTCGACTTTTTTTTTACAATCTGATTGGCCGATTTACTGGCATTCTATATCATTCTAGTGACATAAAATTTCATAATATATAATACAGTAAAAATATTGACTTAATAATTGCATATATTAATGATAACATTAATACGTAATAAACTAGTGTGATCTAATTTTTTTAGATCCGATCGGTCCATTGTATTGTATAAATTACTGTAACAATGATACAATTCCCAGTCAAGCAAATTATGTGATGCTTGATATGCTTCGATTTTTTCATCATTTTATTAAGTGATGTGACACCAAATCTTTGGAAATTTCAAAATGAGAAAAGTGACATGTTTTTATATAAAAGCATTTTGTGAATCAAGTGCTCACGAATAGTTTTAGTTGCATTTGAATGATTCATTATCTGTTTTTAATTCCCATAATAAGTGTAAAAATCAATCTAAATATGTTTTCACCTAAAACCGATCTACATAGTTCAAATAAAATAAGTAAACCGCAAGACGATCGATCACTAAGTAGAAGTTCCATCGATTCATCTTCACAACAATCGTTAGACTCGAAATCTGCTTCTTTCCCATCATATTGTTTGTTTGTCGCTTTTGTGGCCGTTATTGCGTCGCTTGAAAATGGATGGAATCTCGGTGTCACAAATATTCCTGGTATATAATGAGAAATGTAAATCAAAACTATATGTAGTCCATATGAAAAAACAGGTGATCAGAATGGTGATTAAGACAGTGAGCAGATTCTTTATCACTTTGTGTATATATTTAATAGTAAAGAATGAATTGCATGTTTTTAGATGTCTAGAGCGAATCGCTTTAATTTTTTCAATTATTTTAGCAGAAATTTATTATCAAACACGATTATAACAAAGTTTACGTTGAAAGTTAACTCTACAAAAATTCTCTTTCATGTCGTATACTGTTCAAAGGAAAGATATTTTCGTTGCAGGTAATAATTCAGTACCAAAACATGAAATTTTTTAACGTAATATTGCTATAACCATGTTTGAGAATAGATTTATGCTAAAATAATTAAAAAAAAGTAAAGTGATTCGCTATAGACATCTAAAAACATGCAATTCATTCTTTACTATTAAAATATATATAAAAAAGTGATAAAGAATCTGCTCACTGTTTAATCACTATTCTGGTCACTAAATTCAAAAAAAAAAAATCAATATTTAATTTTTATGTGGTATTACATATAGGTTTGATTTACTTAGTTGAGAAATGAACGAACGAACGTTTATCACGTGATATTTATCAGATAAAAAACTTTTTTTTGAAAGAGCAAATTATTAGGAATTGTACATCCAACCTACGTGTACAATCAAAATTTCCAGATTGTCTTCCAATGGACAATTTATTATGGTAAGAAACTGAACTGGTTTCCTTATGAGGAAAGCGCAGGAATATTAACGCCTCAACTAAATATGTAGTTAATTTATAACAGGGGTTTTGCCACAGGAAGTTATGCTATTGGGGGCCTTTTTGGAGGTCTCCTGGCAGGTCGTTGTCAAACACTCTATGGAAGACGAAATACTTTAGTGTTCAATACTATAACTTGGATATTTGGTGGTTTGTTATTAGGAACAGCACTTCACCCTTTAATGTTTGTAGCTGGTCGCATCTTAACTGGTATTGGAAGTGGTATTGGATCAGTCACTGTTCCGGTAAACTATAATATTTTTATTTATACACGTCAATATTATCAACTTATCAATAATTTTTGAAATAGACATATATAGGTGAAGTGGCCACTATAAAATCACGTGGTGCCATAGGAACGATTTATCAGTTATTTGTAGTAATTGGTATCCTAATAACACAATTACTCGGCCTTGTACTCTCATTCGTTCCAGGTTGGCGTGTATTATTGGCATTAACAGCAATTCCCGCATTAATTCAGCTCTCACTTTTGCCTTTATGTGTTGAATCACCAAGATATTTGATTTCACAAAATCGATTTTCAGAAGCAAAGGATGCTTTACAAAAATTAAGATATGGGTACAATGTTGAAAATGAATTTCAGGAAATCGTTGGAGGGCAGACTACGCAATCTAATGGAAGACTTGTGAATGGAAATTCAAATATGTCATCTATTACTGAGGACGCAGTTACACCGACAATCCAGAATGCTAGAGGGTTTGTACAGATTTTACAGGACACACGTTGTCGAAAGATGCTCTTAGTTTGCATCGGGCTTAATATAGCGCAACAATTGTGTGGTATTAACGGAATCATTCTTTACAGGTATTAATTCAAAAATACTCTGTCTACTATGTATAAGCAGGACATTTTGATTACATATACTTTTTGAAATGATTCAATATTTATTTCATTAATATTGATATTTTTAAAACAGTACCGCTATGTTTCTTCAAATTTTCGGTCCTGGGGCAAAATATGCAACGCTTGGAGTTGGAGTAATTAACCTGTTGACGACATTAATCTCTGCTTACTTGGTAGATAAGAAAGGTCGAAAACCTCTATTATTTTCTTCATTCATTGGAATGTGTACTTCATCGATTCTTATAGTAATTGGATCTCTGTATCACGATAATGTTTTGGTGGTTGTCGCTGGTAAGTCATGTGATGCCACGGATTTATTTTATGAACACATGAACACATAATTAATATATCCTCTTTACAGTTTTGTTATTTATTTCTTCTTTCGCTATTGGAATTGGTCCAATCGCATTCCTTATTACACCAGGTAACTTCTTTTAGATTCACTGAAGTTTCACAGAACTCTCACCACAACCTACAACTTTATTATTCAGAGATACTACCAACACATTGCGTAAGTTCTGGTGGCTCAATATGCTTGGGAACAAACTGGCTCTGCAATTTCTTGACTATTTTAACATTTCCAGTACTTCAACAATCTCTTGGAGGATACACTTTTATTGTTTTTGCTATTATTTCGGGAATTTCAACTATTGCTACTTTGATGTTTCTACCTGAAGTATGTTCAAATTTGAATTTTTTTAATTCGAATTCGTCGTTAGTCTTCTATATAAACTGTTTCTTCTCTATACAACGAATTAGACAAAGGGAAAAAGCCTTGAAGAAATAAACAATAACCAATGACAGTTTATAAAGTAGCAGTTTGCCGGTTTATTTTATCAATGAAAATCAACGCGATCATGTTACATGTACTAATTCATAATAAATAGCATGATACGAGGCAATTAAAATTGTAAAAAAAAAAATTGTATGTCTTTTTTTTGCACATCTAAAGTGTATGTCAGTTTGTGGCGCAGACAAGATTATTTCCTGAAAAGAATAAACGTGTACATGTTAATTCATAACATTAGAAATGATCAACTTACCTTCTTTAGATCCAACTGTATTGAAATATCCATAACTGTTAAAGAACATACGTACGTACGTAGAAATGACCTGTTGTACAATGAATTTTATATACAATTTATTAGTGATTTAAGCCGTAAGGTTTTAATAGGCCCATACTTCCAGAAAATTTCGGTAAATTTTTCGCTCAATTTTATGTTTCTTTTCGGAATTTACCGGAATCGAACCATATACTAAATCATATGATCTTTAGCCGCATTAGCCAGCCGATCATATTACATTGGTTGGCTAAGCCGGCTAGGCTGGCTTAGCCGCGGCTGCCGTAGCTGGCTTAAATCACTACAATTTATACATATAGGTGTGTTTATATAATTGGCTATACCTATAAGAGATTTTTTGTTTTCTATTGTTGTTATAGTATGAAATTAAGAAAGGTTTTACTTATAACAATAGTATAATTTTTAATATTTGTAAAAATCTTGATTTAAAAAAAAAAACTTGTGACAGATGATATTTATAGGCAAGAATCTTTAGATAAAAAGTATTACTAATTTGATTACTAGTTAATTCAAGTATAAAATTGCATTATATATAGTTAATTAAGATGAAAATATAAAAGAATTTATAAAAGTAAACAAGATTGTAAAAAAAAAATACTAAAGTTATATAATTTTTATAAAAATTAAAAACTAGATTAGAAAGGTGTAATTATTTCGTAAAGTGAATAAGTTATTAACCTTTTAAGTAACAGGTTATAAGTTCAAAACTTATTAACAGTAAAAATTTAAACAATTATTTATATTAAGAAATAAAAACTATTGAGGTTTAGAGCCTATATACTTAAATAAAATATTTATTAATTTGTTTTTTGTGTTTAAAATATTTTTTTATATTACTTATCTTAGTTCTTCAATTTCATGTATGCTGTTTAATTTTTGTATAAATTCTAAACATTAATCAAAACCTATAAAAAATATAGTTAAAATAATAAGTTTAATAAATAAAGCTATATTTATATAATTTTCTTTATAATTAAGAGTAGAGGGTATGTAGATTATTTTTTTATAGTTTTATATAATATTTTGAAATTTTCATATAAAATTAAAATATATTACTTATAAAACTTTTTTAAATTACAGTCAATTTTTATTAAAATTTCACAAAATATAAATAAAATAATTTATCTATTATAATAAAATTTTAAACTATTATTATATTTAAAAAATATATACTTATATATATTACAAAATTTTTTTAGAATGATTCAAAATTTTCTAGGTAATACAATAATACTAAATTTGATTGGTTAATTTATATAATTCTATAAGTTAATTTAATTAATAAATTTTTATATTTAATTTTTAAAAAGTTATATTTTACTAAGTTTTTAATCAAATTTAATAAGTTTACTATTATTAAAATCAGAAAAACCTGCTTTACAAACTTTTTTTATAAATTAATATTAGTTTACTTAATATAATTTTTTATAAAATTAAATATAAAAAAATTATACCATTAAGTTTATATATAATTTCAATATAGTACTCTTTATCCTTAAATAAAGAAATATATTAATTGCATAATAACATACAACAATGTTAGCACTAATTTAATTATTAATAAATAAATAAATAATAATAATATATAAATTAATGTTTAGCAAGATTTTGTATATTTTTTTTATCTTAACTATAATTTTGTTATTTGATTACTATACTTTTAAATAAATTAATTAATAATAATTATAAATATTTTTTTTAAATAATAATATAGAATATATTGATTTATATTTATAAATTAACTGTAGAATATATTTAATAGTTAATTTTCTTCTTTTAATCTTTCTTGTAGTCTTAAACAATTTTTGATGCACTTAATTTTTTCAAATAAAAATAATTTAAAAAGAATATCTTGAAGTGCTTAGACTTATAATACTGCAACAAAAGAAAGATTAGTAATAAATTTTTTTGTGCTAAAATTTACAATAGCTTTTAGTAAAGTGAGTTTTTGACTTTTGTGAACTGTAATAACTCATACAAGACAAATAGTAATTTGTTAATATAAACATGATTTATATTTTTCTTTTAAAATATATTTAATTAGTGAAATTAGCACAACAGTAATTTTAGTTAAAGTTTTAATAAAAGAACTATTATAGTTATTAAAAAAGACAAATATAATAGTAGAAAGTAAAGAAGATTTTTGGTTTTTTATAAAAAGGATATTTATAATAGTTTTTATTAAACTATTTACTAGTTTAGTAAATATTTACAAATTTGCTATAGTATAATTCTTGCATCTTTTATTACTAAAAGTTGTACTTTAAGTTTTTGTACTGCATTAGAATCAGCTGTATAAGCTTTTTTACTATTATTATATATAGCAACAATTTTGGCAACAAAACAATGTAATGATTTAAACATATTAAAATTAACTTTATCAATATCTAACTATCTTGTTAAAATATGTATAGTTGCAAAAAATTGGTTGCATTTTGTTTTAGATAATTTATTTTCAAATTAATTTATCAATACTTTTCAATCTTTTTATATTAATTCATTATTATGTAGTCTTAAAAGAATATCTCTAAATTAGTATTGATTATCTAAATTTTTAGATTAACATTGAATTACTTCAAGTCTATAACTTTCTTAAAACTGAGAATATGCTATATAACTATTATTTGATACTAAATCATAATTATAAAGATTTTTTATATATATAGAAAAATTACAAACAAACAAAAACTAATTAAACTTGCTAACAAGAATTACTAATCTGCTATTAAATAGTATATAATTATATTCTAAAAAGGTTTAACATAGTTATATATCTATTATAGCAAGCATTCTATAGCCTATTATATTTATTTTATAAATAACAATATAAATAATATTTTAAAGTCTTTTAAAACTATAATATAAGAATAATAACAGATTTATTAATAAAGAAGACTAATAATAAAATAAATATAATATTAGAACAGATATTAGAAAATAGAATAATAGAGAAATAGAAAAGAGATGAAATGAAGTTATTAGAATTAAAACAAACAAAAAAATTAGAAATAAACCTAATTAAAAAACAAAAATTAAATAGTATAATTACAAATCAGTTAATAGAGATTCTAATTTGAAACAAGAAAAGAGACAAAAAAAAATACATCTTTTATACTAATGAAACATTATACAAGAAAAAAAAAGAAAACAGTACAGAAAGGATGGATATTGGCTAGGTACAAGTAGAAAATGAAAAAGACTAGCCAGAAAATAAAACTACATTGAAACTTAAGAGATAACTTTTAACAATAATAGCAGAATTAGCAGTAATATAAGTAGCAATTCTAATAGTGCCAAAAGAAAAAATATAAAAGTATATATAGACAGCATTGCAGCATTAAGAAATATTAATAGAGCAATTCAAAATATAAAAGAAAAAAGAATTTTTAAAAAAAAAAATATAATGTGGATAATAAATATTGTAGGTCTTATCAAAAGCAAGAATATTAAAATATAAATAATTAAAGTTAAAAGTTATAGTAAATATAAGTAAAATAATAAAGCAGATCTCTTGCAAAAAAAGAAGTAACTTGTAAAAATATAATACATACAGATAAGGTCAAGTGTAATAAGATAGAGTACCCTTTATCTTACAAAGCTGAACTATTCTCAATTATTTTTGCAATCTCAACTGCTCCTCGAAACTGTATCATTAATATCTTTACAGACTCTCAATCAGTAATTTCTAAATTTAACAATCTTCAAC